GAGAGAGAGAGAGAGAGAGAGAGAGAGAGAGAGAGAGAGAGAGATTCTTAAGAGACCAGAATGGAAAATGGCTTGGGATTTATAAAAATTAGAGGCAAAGGACCTAGGAGTTAGGATAGCTAATGTGCAGTAGGACAGCATTAAACATAAATATGTAGCACTTATGCAGTTAGCTTTTAGTGTCCCCTCTCTATTAATAAATTCTAATATATGGCTTGTGTTTTGAGACACAGTCTCACTATGCAGCCCTGGCTGAACTTGAACTCATCATGCAGTCCCAGCTGATGAGTTCAGATTTGCAGTGATCCTCTGGCCTATGCCTCCTGGATGCTGGAATTACAAGCATGCACCATCGCATCCAGCTTAGCCTCACTTTTGGGATATATTCCTGGTTGCTCAGGAAAAACACATAAAATCAAGATTCAAAGAAAAGCTGAAAAGATTAGGAGGTAATTGATAAAAAAAGGGAGCATGATGAACTGGGGAGTTATGAGATGATGTGATAAGTTAATAAGCTTTTCAACAGGATGACTGCTCTCCATTCCAAGGACAATAGAGAAAAGCTTAAGACCCTCATTCCAATCATTTAATAATTTATAAGGTTCTCTGACTACATAACTCAAAGATTACTTTTGAGGTTATATGTTTTCCTAATTTGAATTTACAATATAAGAATTTTAAGTATTTGAATATGTTGGGGGTAAGAATGGTCTTTTCTACCCTTGTGAGGATGAGTTAAGCTTCTTGCTTTGGATGACAGAACACATACATGAACAGCTCCCCAGCTGCAAGTTTTCACCAGCCTTTCTAATGGCTGTTGCACATAGTAGGTACTCCATCTATCATGTTCAGCAGCTGTCACATTCAAATGTTTTTCAGTAATTCCTGATCACTAAGAAACCCAGAAAGCACACCACTTGGTTTATGTATGAAACATAACATAAAGAAATTTCAGTAAATGAAATTGGCAGAGATTTCATACCTCAGAAAGCTTGTAGAACAGTACTTCATGAGTCTTAAGGATGATTGATTTCAGTTCAGGAGTGTTTGGAATATTCATTTTTGCCTCTACAAAATCCATCAAGGAAGACGAGAAAAGCAGAAAATATTCCCTTGTCATATTTGGTCAGAAAGGAGAAGGCAAATAATTTCTGACTAGAAGGTCTCACAACTTCATTTCTCTTTCACCTCAAGGAGAGATATTCTTACATGAAATCGTAAGATTATTCCTTCAGAAGAAAGTTTATTACTTAGCTTATTACTGTAGCTCTTGCTAAAAATTTTCTTTGGTGTAGAGAGAGAAACTTAATAGAATACATACCAACTCTCTGGGGAAATTAGATTTGATGCTAGTTTGTCATGGGTGTTTTTTTCTAAATAAATGTTATAGATAGATATTAAAATAATTGCTATACTTGTTGGCTTTTATGATCCAGTTATTCTATATGTGAACATAAGTTCTGAACTTAATTTCATCCAATACCTAAATGCTTAGGGAATATTAGGTAAGAAAAGAGCAAGTGTTTTAATTTTACAGTTAAAAATAAAGTTCCAAAAGTTCATTTGAGCCAGGCATGGTGGTACAGCCCTGTTATCTGAACACTCAGGATGCTGAAGCAGGAAGATTGTGAGCTTGAGTCATCTTGGGCAACACAGTGAGACCCTTTCTCTGGGGCTGGAGAGATGGCTTAGAGTCTAAGAGCACTACCTGTTCTTGTAGAAGACCAGAGTTCAAATCCCAGCACCCACATGGTGGCTAACAGCTATCCGTAATTCCAGTTCCAGGGGATCTGATGCCCTCTTCTGTTCTCCACAGGCATTGCTCAACACGGGTGCACTTGCAGACATACACACAATACATACATACACATAAAATAAAAAGAAAAAATTTTAAATCACAGTGATATCCCGTGTCCAAGAAACAATTCAATGAATGCTGTAAAAACAGTAATCCCAAATAAGGCCCCTACTTTATTCATTTATCATTTGTTTTTGCTTGCCAGTGATAGCATATGTCTGTCATCAGTCCAAATATTAATATTCTATTCACACACCAGTGGTAAACTTGAGAGCTTTTTTCACTTATTAGCATATTGATACCTGCTTTAACAAATAAGTGACTGTAAGTTCAGCTATTGTGACCTCCCACGTCTTGCAGCATGCTGGCTTTCAATAAATGCCAATATCACTGTCTTCAGATTTCAGACTCCCCTAAACAATGTATATTTCTGGTGGAGTCATCTAACAGTGACTTCATAACACATTACAACTCCCAATGACACACACTTTCTTCCTGTTTTTTGTTTCTAATGGTAGCATGTCTATGCGGTTGGGGTTCTGAGCCAAAAGGAAGCAAGGTTCAGGATTAGGGCTGCCAGATACAGCTCATAAAAATATAAGCTGCTTCAGTTACATAAGAATTTCAGATACATGACAAATAATTTTCTAGAATAAGTATATTTTATATAATATTTAGGCTATATTTATACCAAAACTTATATTTGCTTTCAGTTTCACTGTTAATGAACACAGTAATATATGAACATCATCTGGCAATCCTATTCAGAGAGAACTGTGCCACCTCTACAGACTCACAGTACACTCTGATGTTTAGAGTTGTCAAGCAAAGAGCAGCCTTCCTACCCACAGCTCTGGGATTTGCCATGTTATTTATGTGTTTTTTGAATCTCAACCCATGTTTTCGTTAAGAAATTGAATTGTTTCAGTAAGAAACAATATCTGTTTAGAACACGGATTTCAGGAGAAACCACAAAAAGAATAGTTCATAGACCCTGTAATTCCTGAGAGTTGGTTGTGTCTATGTGGTTGAGGTTGGGTGAGTTCTTCATGCATCTCCATTATTGTACTCTTTTGATTGTGTGCTATGGGACATGCAGTCTTGGTGGGGGAAGGTGATGAATGCTTTCCTAAATACAAAGAGAAAAATTCTATGCCAGTTTTTTAAATCACATTTGCTATTTACCTAATCTGGGTCTTCACTTGTCACCTTGCTGTTCCCATGGCTTCCTCCCCCGTGTCTGTTGCATGGTTCCTCTCTCTAAACCTCATGGCCATGGTGATCTTTCCAAGCACAATCCCACTGCCCACAAGATTCATCGCCAGATTCCTTAGTGAGGTAATCACAGCCCTGTCCATACTCAGCTGCACTTCCCACAACTGTCAGCTTAGATTCAAGCCACCCATGACATTTTGTAGATCATATAGTTATCATCCAGGCTTCTGTGGCTTTCTATCTTGACCCTTTCACAATTTTCCAGTTTCAGTTCTAGAGTGGCAAACCCTTATTTCTCCATTTATCATGACCAAGCTCTATGCAAATGTTTTAAGTGGCTTTGGTCATTTTCTTCTGTACATTTCCATGGTCCTTCATTTACAGAATGCCCACACATGCATTCCTTCACAATAAATGTCATTGGAGTCTCTCCCAGATATATGAAGTCTGTGGGGGCTGGGGGCTGGGGGCTCTGTGGCTTGCTCATTTTTTGTGCCTGCAAAGACTAGCACTGTTAGTACATATTGAAGACCTAGTGAATAAATGAGAACACTGGGGACAGGAGAAGAGCTGGCTTCCCACAGAAGCACCCCACAGTAAGCACTTCCATGGGATTCTCTCTAAAAATCATAGAGTAAGAAACAATTTCTGTTTAGAAAATGGCATTATAATTATATCACAATGGTCAGAGACTAGCCACACATAGTTTAAAAGTTTTCTGTGCTCTCAGAGTAGTGGTATATACTTTTCTTCATAAATGCAGTAAGTTTTTTTCGTTATAATAGAAATACAGATTTTTCTCATCTTAATAATTTAATTTCTGCCTAGATTTGATAGTTTTGAGAACTGTTCATTGTCAATGTAGCCGAAGATTGGCTTCCAAGACATAAAGATGAGATAGGCATTGTTCATATGGACTATGTAAGTAAATGGGCCTAGACTGATCAAGATGTTCAGTCAGTACAGAAAAGTCTACTGAAAACCCAAGTCTTGTTTGCTGACTGGAAAGCTAAATCTCTCCCAATCTTACCCCTAAGCAATTATAGCTATACTATGTGTGGAAAAAGAAAAATCACCTTGCTTGACATTCCATTGATGG